TCTTTCAAATGTGTTTATCTTTTTTATCTTACCATGAATTTTCTCTTTACTTACTGATTAAATAGCAGGTAGCAGCAACGCTTGTATAAAAGCCAGTATAAGAGTTATAATTTAATTTATTATTATATTTACAATCCATGCTATATATACATTGCATAAAAAAAAAAAAAAAATTATGATTTGCTTCTTAAAACATTAATTTTTTCTATGATTTTCTCTGCTATATGTATGTAACTTCGAGCCTGCAAAAAAGTAAGATACCATTAATACAATTATAATAAAAGTATTAGTAATTATAATAATAATAATAATAATAATAATAATAATAATAAAAATAGCAACAGTAAAAGTAATAATAATAACAGCAATATTAAAGATAATAATAATAATAAAAAAATATAAAGTAATAATATCACTAATAACAATAACAACAACAATAGTAATAACAACAATAACAACTATAATAATAATAATAATAATAATAATAATAATAATAACAATAACAATAATGATATCAATAATAATAACAACAAAAACAATAATAATAATAACAATAATAATTATCATCATACTCATAATAAACATATTAATAATAATAATAATAACAATAATGATAATGATAATAATAATAAATAATAACAATAATAATAATAATAGTAATAATAACAACAACAAGAACAATAACAAATAATAATAATATTTTCAGAATAATAATAATCATAACAACTATGACCTGCAAATTACTATCACCCTCAGCATGGTATTACATAGTTTATATTTGTATGAGGCACCTAACAAATGAAAGTAAGAAAAAAAAAAATTATATATATATATATACATATCTATCTATCTATCTATCTATCTATCTATCTATCTATATATATATATATTATGTCTACCCCAAACAGATTTTATATGAATTAACAAACCACAACCAAACAATACATTATGTAGTGGAGATACATAAGAAGAAAGACTAGTTCCAAACTTTTGATGTACCTGAGGACTCGCAGGATGGGATAATACCACAGGCTGTCCTTTGTCTGCCCCCAAGCGAATCTGGAGGTTCAGAGGTACGTCGCCTAAGACATCGACGTCTGAAATTTTGAAATGAAAGTAATGTGTTATTCTTCTTAGGGGCAATATTTATCATTAATATTGGGGTTAGATGGTTTTTAATCTGTTCTCTTTTCCCTTATCTTTGTGAAATATTATAGTTAGTTAGAGGAACTTGAGGATAATGATTCTTTCACTAACTGTTTGTTAGCAAAACAAAGGAAAAAAAAGGGTGGAAAAAAGAATGAAATAAAAGAGGGGAAAAAAATGATAATGAAAAGAGGAAAAATAAATACTTACCTAGTTCTTGAGCCATCTCTACCGCTCCATCTTTCCCAAATATGTGTTCCTCATGGCCACATTTTGGACAGCAAAACACACTCATGTTCTGAACAAGACCAAGAACAGGAATGTCAACCTTACGGAACATCTCAGCACCACGACGAGCATCTAGGAGAGCTATGTCTTGTGGGGTAGAGACTATCACTGCACCTGTTGATATCAAGAACTATTTAGTCATTTTTTAAGACTAATGCATCAGTCTAAAATCTGGAAACACAAGATAGATAAACATCAAGATTTTGAAGAAGAATCAAAAGTGAACATTAAAGAATATGTAATGCCAGTAATAGTAAGATGAAATTCCATAACTCTTTGTCTATAGTATTTCTCCTCCACCTTCCTTTCATTTACAAACCCTTTCAACTTTTCACTTCTACAAATAATACTTCTTTAATTATGAAATGAACCACACCCAGCAGAATCTGGCCAAAACTCATTCTACTTCACCTGTAACGCTGATCAGCTGGGAGATAGAGAGTTGTGTGTCGCCCGTCCCAGGTGGCATATCCAACACCAGGTACTTTATCTTTCCCCAAGCAGTGCGGAGGAGCAGTCTCTGTACAGCAGACATTACCATTGGTCCACGCCACACAACTGCTGCCTTCTCTTCTACCAGAAACCCCATGGACATACTGTTAATAAGGTTGTACACATAGAGGATACTGGGATATGGTCATATTAAAAAGTAACAATAGTAATAGTAATAATGATAATACTTAACTCTATTTATTAATAGAAATGGTAATGATATACTGCTATCAGCTCTTGTACTAGAAACTCAATGAATATGTTGGGAATATGATATCTAAATGAGGAGAATGCCTGGTTGTGTCTAATTATTAATAGACAATAGTAATATAATACTCCAATCTTCTAATCAAACTCTAAGCTATCAATTACTAGTTCTGAATATACAGAATGCTGGGACTCAAGGTTAACAGACAAATAAAAATGTAAACCTTCATTTTATTTAATATACAATGATGATATACTCTAAATGCTTATAATCTTTTACCTTCATCAAATAAAATGCAATTTCACTTTAAAACATTAATTCTTGATAGCTATCCCAACTCAAAATTATTTTACAAACAAAGGCCAATATGTAATGAACAAAAATAAATTTACAAACCATTTTATCCCATAATTGGAGAGGGGGATCATATTATCATCTGAAACAATAAAATAAAAAAAAATCTGATAAAATGTTGATTGATAAATTAATTGTCTATATGAATCATACAAAATACTACTGAAACAGTCATTAATCAAAATTATTATTAATTATTAATCTATATAAAATCTGTTATTGTTTCAACATTTTTAGATACTCACAGATATCTGTTGAAGGAAAGTTAAAAGTTATTATTCAAAGAAATTTTAAACAAATTTTAAACAAATTACTATCAAGATATACTATATTGAAAGACAAATATGCAGTAGTTGTGGATGTGACAACCTCTTCCAATTTGACTTACAACTACAACCAAAATGACCAGTGTGACTGACTTACCTTTGTCTAGTTCAGGGGCACCTGTTAAATTCATCATGCGAGGTATTGACGGTCCAAACACATCCATGTCCAGGAGTCCAACTGTACCTGCTCTGTCCACTTCCGATAAGGCCAAAGCTAAATTCACTGGCAAAAGGAATCAAGAATATTATGTTGGTGAAATGTAAAATGTATAATAAAATTATTGTTTCCTAACCTACAGATTTAAATGTGGGAATATTTTTTGTTTGTTAAACCTACACATTTTCAAATTAGACAACACTTAGAATTTTCAGAATAAAAAAAATTAGTAGATTCCAAGAATAAACAAAATATCTCCTATGTCTTGTCATACTCAAAATCAAATACTATCACTAACTAAATTTCAATGAGTACCTGATGTTGTTGATTTCCCGACTCCACCCTTTCCCGATGCTACCACAATAATGTTTTCAACATTAGGAATCTTTGAGCGTTTTGGAAGACCACGTGCCATCAAATTTTTCTGTCGATCTGTTACTTGGCCTTTCTTCGTATGGATACCCTGAAAAGTAAGAAAAAAAAAGTGTAAATTGAATGAATTGACAAGTGAAAGGGTTGATTTGTAAATGACTTTTCTGATAATAAAAGTCAGAACCTGTAAGCAAGTTTAAAAATCATAAGTATAAAACATAAAAAAACAATATCTAGTTATATACTGTAGCTTCTACACAAGCAAAGGTCAACAAACTTCAACTGCAAACATTCTGGAAAGACAGCGCTCAACATTCCAAACTCAGAAATAAAATTCTAGGAAGGAAATTACTTTAGGAATTTAATTTTAACAAATTCTATCTTAGACTACAAATAGTGTAGGTTTGCTGACCACTAGTGGAACATGAAGAATGGAGGCCACAATATCACTTGGTGTGTAGTTCTGATAGCCTAAGTGATTTCCTGTTATTTTAAATTTGCATAGATTATCATTCACACCCAACATAATAAGTATTATTCTATGTTCATTACCATTACATTAATTCTTTTCTATCTCTGCATGCCCCTGTGTTGGTTGATTCCTATCTTTACAATAGGAAAAACAGTACATGAATTTCTATAATTAATTTTGAAAGAATCAGAATAACAAAGAAGACAGAAGAAAGATATTAGAAAAAAGAATGAAGGAAGAAAGAAAAAAGAAAGCAGAAAGAAAGAAGAGGGAAGAAGAGACATTATATATATCTGAGAGAGAGAGAGAGAGAGAGAGAGAGAGAGAGAGAGAGAGAGAGAGAGAGAGAGAGTGAGTGAGTGAGTGAGTGAGTGAGTGAGTGAGTGTGTGTGTGTGTGTGTGTGTGTGTGTGTGTGTGTGTGTGTGTGTGTGTGTGTGTGTGTGTGTGTGTGTGTGTGTGTGTGTGTGTGTGTGTGTGTGTTAAAATAAAATACAACTTACAAATGGATCTCCATGACTTGAAAAATACCGGAAATTTAAGAATAAATTTCTGTTTTCCCCATTAACACGAAAAAATGTTCTCTGAATGATATTAGAGATCATTTCGCTGATATCTCAGTCCTATTTGTTACGTATTAAGCAGAACTTCTTCTTCTTCTTCTTCTTCTTTTATAGGGTTTTAGACTATATAGTAGTCTATACTCCCTGGATTTTCTTTTGTGGGTCTTCGTTGTTTTTAGATTATATCTATTATTCTTATTTAAGCAGAACTTGAATTCCCAGCTGAGAAGACCAGCATTTCCAATTTACTTTTGTTTACATAGTATCGTAAAGGGAGGATATGTGTAAGAATAGTATTTTTAAATACTACTGCGAATAATTTTACACTAAATAAAACTTACATAATAGATAATGATTTGACTGATATTATTATATTTCCCTTTTTAATACTATAGAAAATAAATATATATACATACTATCCCTCATGTAGTTACTTTGATGCTACTTTGAAAGACTTCATAATAACTATAAAGAACACAAATCATACCTTAAGGGACCCGCATAACAATTTCAATAATCTAAACTTATTCGTTAGCCATACCATCAATGATATCCATTGAAAGAAAGCAATGAAAGCGGTAATAACACATATATATCTGACATAAAACTTACTAAACTGTACCGGATGGGATTTCATGACCGGCTGTAAAGAAAACAACAAAGATTTTTATCCACGTAAGTTTCGTTGTTATTTTATCATAATATTTTGTTCACAGCTGTATTATAAGACTTCTCCTATTGAATCAGAATAGAAGATGCTATTTAGTGGAGTAATTCTAAGAATCAAGGGAAGTAAGTTGGTTGAACCATAAATAAAAGAATTTAGGTCTGGAGGGGTAAAGAATTATAATAATGGAAATGGTAATATTATTGTCATGATTTAATGATAGATTAATAAACTAAGTAAAATTTCAATCTTAGAAATACGCATGTTACCAGGAAAATGTCATAGTTGTTGCACATTATAAGTGAAAAAGTTGCTTTTAATATGTTAATAGTTCAAAATGAAGTGATGTTCCAGCAAAGTCTAACAAGACAACCCCATGGTAGATTACACAAGTCACTATAGGTTAATAATTTTTCTTTTTGCCATAATGCCTGCTATGGAGACCTGTATGTCTCTAAATGCACAAATTACAGGGGCCTTAGTTCCGGTTTACTTATTATATGAGCATAGATTTAAGGAGACATCTGTGTTTCTGCTTTCCCGATGATATTTGTGAGATAAGGAATAAGTCCAAATTTTATTTGATTAATCAATATGAAATGGACACACACGCACACGCACAAGCACACGCACACCCTCACCCTCACCCTCACCCTCACCCTCACCCTCACCCTCACCCTCACCCTCACCCTCACCCTCACTCTCACCCTCACCCTCACCCTCACCCTCACTCTCACTCTCACTCTCACTCTCACTCTCACTCTCTCTCTCTCTCTCTCTCTCTCTCTCTCTCTCTCTCTCTCTCTCTCTCTCACTCATATAAAATTGGGACTTCTTTTTGCAGAATGTCATCAAATGCGAAACAGCTGCTTTTGCCTCTTGTCCGTTCTTTTGCCACATCTGCGAGGAGTGACATAAACAGCCATCGAGCAAGCATAGCCCGTATTGGTCGCCTCACTTACACTCGCATGTATCCAGTCTCTATAGTGCAAATGGATGGTTCCACTATTAATGTCAGATACCATGAACCACGCAAGATTATTAAGGTAAGTTAGAGAGAGAGTGTGTGTTCATGTGTGCATGTGCGAGTGAGCAAGCGAGAGGAGTGTGTGTGCGTGTGTGCGAGTGAGTGAGTGAGTGAGTGAGTGAGTGAATGCAGTTATAGTTGCTGTTTGACATCATTTATTACAAGGTTAGAATTGTTGAAAATATGCTAAATATTAAGAGAGACAAGAGTAGAAACAAACACATCAAAGATTTTCAATGTAGGGTTCAGATTCAGCCATAAGATAATTAGCTGCATCTGACATCATTGATACTATACTTAGTATTATTTGATGTTATTGTTTCATTACAATTGTGAATTACTTTTGTTCTCCTAACTATAAAGATATCTATTTCCTGTTTCTTCCAACAGTTGCCTCTTGATCTGTCAACTTTGAGTGAGGCTGAGAGAAGAAAACGTCTTGAAGCTCGTAAACCAATAGCAAAGGTAAGAGGCAGGCTTTGGGAGCCATCTCATTATTTTTCTTCTTCTTCTCCTTCTTTCTTCTTCTTCTCCTTTTTTTCTTCTTCTTCTTCTTCTTCTTCTTCTTCTTCTTCTTCTTTACTTTCTTCTTCCTTCTTCTGTCTTCTTCTTCTTTCCTTCTTCTTCTTCTTTCTCTTCCTTTTTCTTCTTCTTCTTCTTCTTCTTCTTCTTCTTCTTCTTCTTCCTCCTTTCTTTCATTCTTTCTTTCTTTCTATAAAGTTTTTCTTCTCTTTTTGTTTTTCCTGTATTTTCCTTTTCTTTATTATTTATTTATTTTTCTTGTGTGTTTGTGTCCGTAACTTTTACTGTTCTTCGTTCATTTTCCACATTTTTGTTTTACACTTTCGCTCTGTCTCTCAGTTTTGGGTTATTGCATTTTGAAATGATTCTTTGATTTTAAAGTTTTAGCAAATAAGAAGATTCCTCTCTCCTGAACAAATGAATGATGTCTTTAGAGAGTAACAAGGATAGAATTAGGAATAGATAAGTGAATTATCTATCTTTCCCTCTTCTCTTTCCAACAGGTGGTGATTGAGGATGACATTGAAGATGACTTTGACCTGAGTAGTTATCAGCATCTGTGGAAGAAATAGAAAAGGATAGCATTTATTTCTCTCTCTCAGTCTCTCTCTTTCTTGCTCTTTTATTTTCTTTATTTTTTCTCTTTCTTGCACTATTTTGTCAAAATCATTATGATTAATACTTGTTATTGATGTATGTAATTGCAATAAATTTTTGTTATTGTTCATCATAATTATTTTTCATTATTTTTATCACTGCTGTTATTACTGGTATTATTGTTTGTAATATAAACAATACTTGTAGTATACTATAAATATTGACTTTTGTACATATTTTTTTAAAGATGCAAAGTCTTACCTTTTTGTGCTAATGTGATTTTTTCCTATCTCACTTTCTAAATTTATTTCCTTGTCTAAGTTTTTCTCTGTAAATAAATGACAATACAAGAAAAAAAATAAATGTATATTATTAGTTTGTTATTTTAATTTCCCTTGAATATATATGCACAGCTTTGTTGATTATATGTAAAATAACTCTCAGTAAGAATTTGTTACATGTTGTGTTCAGCAGTTTTTTTGTTTGTTTTTTTTAATTATTACAGTTGAAATAAGGTACACTAAACTTCATTATTTATACTGAAAATAAATCATGATAATATTTGATTAATTCTAATAGCACTGATAGCACAAGCAGCCATGCTTTGATATAAAATTGTTTGTAATTTTATTCATTTATTCAATTAGATTAGTAAACTAGGCATATTTCATTGGTGTTCCAGTGTGGTTTGGAATGTATTTGTTGAAAAAGTTGCATGTTTCTGTTTAAGGTTTTTGGGATAGTTTGCATTTCTTATTTAGAAGATGTAGATTGGAGAAAATAGTTTCACTTTTCTTAGACTTATTAATGGTAGGTAATATGTGGAAGAAAGTTAGAGTGTGGATAATTTCATGAGACAGAGAAAGACATATACTATTATTTGATAATTCTATTGCAGCTGAAGGTGACAAGCCTAGTGACAATCACAGCCAAAATAAGTACAAAGCATTCGTGTACCCCTTAATCCCTTGCTCGTTGTTGTCGTGGGGGGGGGGTTGGCTTAGTAGATATAGGGGATCACCCCTTCCTTGAACCTCAACCCTTGCCTGAACTAATTTTGCATGGTCTTTTCTTCCCCTTTCCTTTCCTTCCCTTCTTCATCATCACCTTCAGTCCACTTCCTAAGGTGTGAGAGCCATGCTGAAAGGATGAAAGGCTGGCATTGTGTCAGTCATGAATGGCCTCTGGGAGTCATGGGCATGGTACTCCCTTGGTTAATTGTCTAGCCCTTACCCCTCATGGAGACCCTGAGGGGTAGACCGTTTCCTCTCCCCATTTATTTCAGGCCATGGCCAATAATGATGTTTCCTGACCCCTTCCTCACCACCACCTTGATGTTAGTTGTCAACTCTATCCATTCCGAATCATCCACCCAGGTCATTACTCAGTCTTCAGAATACACCTCTTCCTCTCTCTCAACATTTTCCACTCCATCTCCTACTGCAGTCTTCCTCATTAACTAGCTATACCCCCCTCATCTGACCTTTAAGTCAAAACAATGTCCTGCTGTGGATCCTGTTCCCTTATTCCATTCTCAGGATTCTTCTATTTCCACAACTATCATTTCTTACCATATTACCATTTGATTGTTCATAATGGCTCTCTTGCAGTTTTCCCATACAGTGTTACTTTCCCATACTCTCCATTTGATCTGATCACCCTATAGATTTAACCACATACTTTTACAAATCCTCATTGTATTCCATTTGTATCCTTTTCACTAATATTCTATCCTACAGCATTCTACAACCTTTAACATCTAAAACATCATATCCTGATCATTAACTCATTTCCACCCTTTTGCCACAATAATTTACCATAGTGCTGTATGACCTTTGATGTCTAGCACACATTTCTTCTAACTATTAACCATTAATCATTAAAGCATTCGTGACTCGGAAGGCACGCGGAGGACACGCACACATACACACAAAGTGACAAAAATATATAGCCATACAATTGATATTCACTAAAATGCAAATGGCGAGTAAGAATTGTCATCTTTAGTTAAATGAGCACAGATCTGAAGCAAATATTGTCCCCTTGGTAGCAAGCATATCATTGTGGGGCACTGAAATCAATAATGGTCAAGGGTGTTGGCATTAGGAATGTTACACCATTTACAAGAGGAGAAGTGAAGCACATCCCCTGCCTGAGAGACCTGCCACACTGACCGGTAACCCAACCGTAGCTTTAGCACTCGGAACATTATGTCCAAGCACCACAATATCACGACGACGATATTGGTGAAGACAATGGAGAAAGTGGTCATGGTGCTGTATGGAAACGCTAATAGCCCGCTCTGCTTCCCTAAGTCCAGTGCACAGGCAGCCTGTAGGTCAGCAGGCCTGGCATGAGATGGTGTCCACACTAAGGATGCGATGAGGGAGGTATCTCGGGGATGACGAGTTGATATTTTTTTTCCTGAACGAGAAAGAGAGAGGCAGAAATAGGGAGAGAGAGAAAGAGAGAGAGAGAGAGAGAGAGAGAGAGAGAGAGAGAGAGAGAGAGAGAGAGAGAGAGAGAGAGAGAGAGAGAGAGAGAGAGAGAGAGAGAGAGAGAGAGAGAGAGAGAGAGAGAGAGAGAGAGAGAGAGGGGGGGGGAAGAAATAGAGGAAACAAATAAAGAAAAAAAGAGAAATATTTGGGACCTTTATATATATATAATTAATGTAATAATATATACCGTGAAACTATTACTTCACAACAAATGCAAGATACAGAAATGCTGTGATACAGACCAATACCAGGCCCGGTGCAGATCGCAACACTGATCATGTCACAGTGGAAGCTGAATTAAGACTCGAACTCAAATATTTAAAGAAACCACGCAGAACCAAATTGGGAGAACACAGAGTAACAGTGGAACCTTAGCA